TGGCAAATATCAGGCAAGCATTAACTGTTGTTAACCTCTAATAACATATTATTAATACTTGTATATTGTGTTTAACTCATTCTTATTCATATGTGTACAAATTGATCTCTATGAATTCAAACAGAACATCTAGTCTAACATACTGAAATCACATTTCTAAGCCACAACTGTATGGAGAACATGGAAATGTTGTTTTTTAAATGACCACCCTACTAGATTTTAGTCCCTAACCTAGGAATATTTAGGGGAAGAAAGGCATCCTGGAAAATTTCCCCAATGCAGTTCCTTGGGGTGTTAAGTATACACAATATGAACAGTGTTCCCTGGTGATGATTTGTGGAATTGCTGCCCTTGCACATATCTTGGCTGTGGGACTTCTTAGAACTTCTGAAAAGGCAAATGTCCAGCTGAAGTTTTCAACCGAAAGATGATGCTGAGAAACCGTGCTCTGTGTTGTAAATTTTAGGGCACACTGAAAGGGGGTTGAGGGAGGGGAAAAAGTGGGCTAAGATGTCCTGATTCTGTCATTTGAAGTTAACTTTGAGGAAGCAGCTAAAATCTAAAAGGAGGAGATCAGATGGGAAGGTGTACTTCAGTCCCTCCCTTACAAGCTTTCTAAGCTAGTGCTGTGTCACGTTTTTCATCACTGCCTGGAGGCATTTGTCCTGCAGTTAGTAGGCCTTTAGTCAATATTGTTGACTACAGGTTTTTGATTTTTAGGAAGCATTAATTAGGCCAGTGTTTTGCTGACTGTGTTGCTCTGAAAAAGTCATTTCTTTACGTTTCCTCATTTATAACATCTATGTATTTGGTCTTTTTTTTTTTTTTTTTGAGACAGTTTCTTTGTGTAACCCTGGTTATCCTGGAACTCACCCAGTAGGCCAGGCTGGCCTCAAACTCACAAAGATCAGCCTGCCTCTGCCTCCCAAGTGCTGGGATTAAAGGCGCGTGCCACCACTGCCCAGCTAAATTCCTTTTTATTATCAATTATTATTAATTCTATTCCCAGTACTACACGAATCTTTCTTCAAATGAAACCCACACAAAGTCCGGTGTGTGAAGTGGATGGAAAGAGAAGCTTCTCCACTTAGCCAGAGTTAGCACCTGGCACCAGCACAGAACCCGTTCAACGTCCTCTATCTCAACCTATTGGGGATGTCGTCCCCTGCCTCTGAAACTCACCGGGCACCTCAGAGGGTAAACAGAATGTCACCGATGTAAGTCTTTTCTTTAAAAATTGTTTCATAGAATATATTTTGAATGTGTTTTCCCTTCCTACAACTCCTCACAGATCTTGCCCCTCCCTCCCCATCCAACTTTGT